AAGACAACCTGAGGAAAGTACAACAAAGTACTACTCTTCAACAAATGCAGATAACATTTAAAAATTCACAGAAAATTATTATAAAAGTAAAGTATAAAAATGCATGGTACAGAATTGTAATATATAATAACAGCACTTCCTGCTCTATTTGCTGTCAGTCACACTGAACAAAGTAACACTCAGTTGTGGCATGGATCTATTATTTGCAAAAAATTGCATACGTGATGTACAGGTAGCCCTCGATTTACGCTGGGGATGCGTTCCTGAACGAACCGGCATAAATTGAAACTCTTTTATAATGTAAATCAATGGGAAGTCAATGACATGCGTTCCCAGCACCCAAACATGGACGAGTAATATAATGGAATTACATTTAAAGCTCTGAAATAATGTAAATTCTTATGCAATTTAATTCCTGGCGCTTTAAACTTTCAAAGGACTAATTTAATGAAGATTTCTGTCTTCTGGGTTATTGCGCTGTGTAGTCTGGTCGATCGACCAGACTACACAGCGCAATAACCCAGAAGACAGAAATCTTCATTAAATTAGTCCTTTGAAAGTTTAAAGCGCCAGGAATTAAATTGCATAAGAGCAAACTCGCATATGCAAAAGTTTGCATTTCACAAACAATTTTTACCGATTCATCGATCTCATTGGAGCAAATTCGCGTTAACAAAACATATGAAATTCCAGAGATGACTGTAAGTATAATTTTTATTCAAGATCAGCAATGTAAGAATTACGATTTAGTATAAGAATTAGTACGAGAAACATTGTAAAACGTTATAAATAATAGTAAAACACATTTTCTTCACTTTTTGACTTGCTGGTTTCAAAATCGGCGATATCCTGGATCGGCACAAATCGAGGGCTACCTGTATACAATTTATTGTGGAAGCACCTGGTGTTTTGTAAATAATAAACTGTACATAATTCAGTATTGTAGTTAATGTAGGATTTAAGTATCTTATTTAAACATTGCAATCTGAAATTGACACAGAACCTGATCCTAAGACTCCATGTTGTGCCACACCAAAGAAAAGGTCTCCCTGAGTCACACAGTCAAACAAAAGTGTGGAAATGACACGAGGAGGAGGAGGAGGAGGAAGACTTAGCGTATAACGCATTATGTAATACCACAATAATATCAGGTGAATGGTTTACCTGGTTTGGGCCTTTGATTACAGTTGTCATGTCTGCTCCCATCACTGCTTTTATCAGAGCTGTCATGGCTGTCTTCACCAGCACCAGCAGTCACATTGATATCCTGACTTGAATCGTCCACTTCCATCCTTGCTGAAGTGCTGCCAACTGAAGCTACAGAAGGGGCAACAGCAGGAACTTCCAATTTCTCATAAATCCCCACTTTATGCTGATAATATAGGAAGAACGGATGATTCACATCAAGGAACGAAAAACGGCTATCACCTGAAAAGAGCCATGCAACTAATGTTCCCAGTAATTCAGTACAGGAAGAAACATAACACCACATACTAATGAGGAATAAACTGAGATCTGTATATAAACACAGCTCAGCATGCAATATTATTCAAAGGCAAAGCTTAAATGCACAAAACAGTTACAGAAAAATTATAACAGCACACAAATAATAAATTATAAATTACACCAAGTTCTTGTTCTGCGTAAGAGTTGAAGTATCAATGTTTCATTTCTTATTTTTCACATTGTCACAGGTATGCATGCTTTCCACTTACCTTTGCTTCTCACAATGGCTTCAAAATCCCTGCCATTCTTGGCAACATAGCTGGCCATTTTGTCTATTATGAGTTGCATGTCTGATGGAGGAAGAGTGAACATTTCAGGAGAATCTGATCTTGAACTGCTATGGCCTCCACTACAAACAGAACCTACTTGTCCCCTGAAATCAGAATTCAGAGTAGTAAATAGATCTTGAAAGAACATAGTAATACTACATGTAACCAATTCTGTTCTAAAATCCAACACTCGGTGCCCTCGTTCCAGAGGGGGTATCTTTGGATTGCATACAGGGCTCTTGTCCACCAAAGCCAATGTATGAGGTATCAAGCTGAGGGCCATATGGCACTACGGTGGTGACGGCAGTGTCGCTACGATCCCTTCAGGGCACCAGGCACCACCCCGTCATAACTGTGCCTTCCACCCGCACTGGGCCCCATGGACGGTGCCTGTTAGTTCCCTGGTCCTCAAGGAACATGGGAAGCTCACGGCAGCAGCCAACCCAGGGAAGCTGAGAAGTAAACTGGAGGGCAGGGACTCACCAGTTGTGAGAAACCTAACCTCACTACAAAAGTCCATCTCCTTGGTTGCCAGCAGTTCTGGCATAACACAACAGGGAGCCGAGAAAACAACTACAAGATCATGTTATATGGAATACAGAGAGGTGCGTGACTGCTAATGGATTAAGTGAACAGGAATGCATAAACCAATTTACATCCATTTCATTTCATTCGTATGTTCGCTAATGTATATATTCCCATAAATAATACTTGATTCAAAGTAAAATCCTACCAACCCATTCACTGCTTGCAACATGATTTAATATGGCAAGCTGCTAAAACCTGTTACGATATTGTAATCTCATTACTTCATCACAACTTTCTGCACAGCACTCTGGGTATTTACTGCTAAGTGAATAACCTGGGAACACGAAACAAATATTCATTCAAATAATCGTTGCTTTGAAACCTCTCTGACTACACCCATAAATAATTATTGCAACCCAGTTTATTCTCTTATGGATCAAAATGGAGTATCATGACTGTAAAGTGTGTAAAGCTTCATAAAGTTTAATTCTAACCATGTTTGGAATTTTCTTGTATGACAGCTCCCTGCACAACAAATGAAATGAATAAATGAGACAGTGAAACATCGACATACATTTTGCATCTCAGAGACGAACACCCCCCTTCTTATAACTTGCAGCATTAAACTAAATATTTAGAACAATTTTATTAGTGAATACATAATACACACTATATATGAAGCTTACCTATAAACATCATCATCAGAAGAGTCTCCATTACGTGAAGTTTTCTGTATGGTAACATGATGACGCACAGTGGAACCCAGCGCTGTAGTCTCTTTAGAAACAGGATCTTGCCTGTAGAGAACTGGTGATGCCTGGATAATGTGATCAGGTTCAACCTGGTGATATTGGACTTGCAGAACGTGGTGGGATGTGCCAGGAGCAGGAGGCTGCTGCAGTGGGTTCAAAGATAATGACGCCTGCCTGTTCTTGATTTTGTTAACTAGCATGGAGTAAGCACAGTCAGCTGATGGCTTGTAGCTAATACTTGGAATTGAGGGAGCCTGCAGATAAAAATGTAAAATGCGAGTAAATATCAAATGTTACATCACGCCCTGCATATATATCAAGTGTATGAAAATAGCAGGTTCTAAATGGAGGTACAATGAATTACATTTTTTGGCCACAGTTATCCTAGGTGCCCGGTATTATAACTTGCTTCAACAAACACACACTGACTTCAATAAAAAAAGTCTATGTGCTTACAAATGATGTGTAAGGTATAATTTTAAGTTTAATTAAAGGAAAAGCACTTGCAATGCAAGATGCACATAGGAAAATGTACTACTAAGATTTACAGTGTTTGAAACACCCACTTCCCTAAAGCTAGTACATTTTTTCCTCCCACAATCTCATCTCAAGAACCAAAAAACTGAGTTACTACAAATTGTTTTCTCTTTCTTCCAACACATCTTTTGCTGAGAACCATTGGTTTCTTTATAGATATGTGAGATAGCAAAAATTTCAAGAACCAAATGAAAACACCTAACAACTTCCAAAAGTTATGTAACTGATATTAACCAGCGTGACATACATTTTAAAATGTTTATATCAATGGCTATTCAGAAGTTTCAAACTCCATGGATACACAGATGGCAATAATTAGTAATGACATGTGGATAACTGCTGCTGCTGAAACTGAAAATCCAATTCTCATTGCTGAATTCCTCCTTCCCATTCCTCCTATAATACTGTCCACATCTGAATAATAACCTCACTGAGTAATATTTTACTGTTTCAGGAAATGCTGATGTACCCTTGTAAAGTACAAAAAAGAGGTATGATATTGGGGCACTGTTTATAGAGATGTGACAATCGCTTGTACTCGCAATCTGGAACGGGACAGACTTAATTCTTCCGCAGTCTCTTGACGGAGGCGATCGCCAACACTCCACATCCTCTCGTCTCTTGGACATCAGTACAAAGTAATCTTATGTATATGTAAATAAATGAAGTATTTTAAGGGTAAAACATATAACAAATTGTACCTTATGAGACTGCTTTACCATTTACTTAAGTTCATACAGAAAAAATAAACAACGAAAACAAAAACAAAAAAGATGTCCATTTTACCCCAAGATAACAGATTTAGAACTTCCATCCAAATTCAAACTGTAAACCAGTCCTGGAAATAGAAATAGGCGTTTGATTATCATCACAAATCAAAATATGGTCAACAAACACAGACACACAACACACATGATCAACAGAGTGTTACATCCAAAAATACAAAGGTGAACAAAGATGAAAAGTTTCAGACTACTATTAAATGGTACTTTCAAAACTTAACTGTGTCTATCAGGAGAGGGCAGTGCATAGCGAAGAAAATAACCACTAAATATAAAAAATACAGAAATTTATTCCCTGAGAGATTGCTGTTGAACACAGGACAGTTTTGTTCACATATAAACACTTTCAATGGTAGTGGATTGAAGTTTCATATTAAGCACATGTAATGTTTTGGGTTACTGCTTTTACACAAGTCATGAAATCTTTCAGGTTAACTAAACAATTAAACAATCTGTAATCAATGGTTACAAAAAAAAACTTTACCAAGCATTAAAGACTTAACAATCTAGTAAACTTTATAACATAAAGCAGAATACTGTTATAAAATTCTATACAGCTGATATCACAGTTTTGATGCGAAGAATGTCCTAGGAGGTTAACCTACCAATTCAACACGTGAACTTCCAGGGGCCAGGCTAGGATGTAAGTAGTGGTCATCACTGCTATCATCCTGATCACCTAGAAAACCCAATTAAATCAATACAGTAAACTAAAAAAAATTAACATTAATTTTACATGACTTTCATATATACATTTATACTAAAATGCCTTGTGAATTATTTTCTTGGGACCGGCTGGAAAAAAAGTTGTAAGAGCAAGAACTTAGTTCATGAATACAATAATCAATCTTAATCTGAAGCATGGAAAGCAAAAATTATTAACCCTAATACCACTTGCTGAGTATTGAAGTTTTAGATCAAGACCAACGAATCCACTTCTCTTTAAATTCTTCCAATAGCATACAGGGTGGAGTAGATATTTCAGACAAATAATGACACAGCTTGGTGATCTGTTACTCTGGATAATTTCTGCTAATACATATTTTCATTACCTAAAAGCTGTCAGATGTAATACGGAAGGTTCCACACAGTTGTCACGCTTGTCCATTTAGTATATGAAAAAGTGCTTCATAAAAATCTTGGTGTATTTCTGACATAAACCAATATCAAAGTTCACATGACCACCATTTCATTGCACATTCTACAATAATACCTTACATAAAATAGCATAATTTTTGGAAGAACCAGATTCTGTATTAAATGGTACTGAACTCATCTGCACACCTGCCACATTAGTGTTAAGTGATGGCAGGAAATTGAAATGCATGATGGCCTCCAGTGGCTAAACATTCACGCCAAGCACGACATAAATCTGCGCACTGGATCAAAGGTTAATAGGGAAGACTGGCCTATGCGAGCAGGCAGACAGACAGACAAATCAGATGTTACACAAGCCCATCTTCCTTTACAAAACACAAAACATGTACAAACCCTCTTTTTCTTGTTCTTGTGTCTTTGGTCGGTAACGCCCAGTCTTAATGGCCATGAGAAGGTGACGATAGTACGGGTGAAGTTGTGAATCAAAAGAAAGGAACTGAAACTGCGGATTGTTTGCCTGCTTCATTTTCAGCAATATCTCCATCTGTGCTCCTTGCTGGCTGATGAACAGAGCAGTCTTCTCAATAATTGCATTCAATTTAACAGAGTCAGGCTGGAAACAGGTACAAATCAAACACTTGGTGATAACCTTCCCATAAAAATTAGTCACCCTATTTAATTTCATAAACACAGACAAAGCCAATGCCAAAGTAATTTGTTTCTTTCCCATTAAAGGATTTCCCCCCAAATATAATCTGAAATTCTCAACATGAACATCAATATCTGGTTTCAATGTAATGCACATTACATTACATAATACTGAATATGAGGTGTGCTCCATGGAGTACTGATGATTTCTCTTCTAACAAGCAGTATGTTACTAGACTAGGCTTAGGGTAGAATCAAGTTGTATCAGCCAACAATAATAATTTCTGAAACAAGTGATTAATTTTCATTTAAATTCATATAGACATCTTGCAAGTAACCATACCACTGTGCCATTTAATTTCCTACTAACACCAATATCAACATGGCAGCTGCAAAAACTTGTGAGTGAACTGTGAGCGACACTATATCCCATCTGACCATAGATTGACGATTTCATTGGAGGGCATCCGTGAATGTTCGGATCATATGAAGGTTCCAAAGGGGAGCAGAGGAGGTGAAGGAGAGGTGTATATATAGTAGTACAACACAACAGCTTACATCACAAGCCAAGAAGGCAGAGTTTCAAAAGTTTGCAACTAGTAATCCTTGGACAGGGATATAATAGCAAACTAGTTGAATTCAATCCTGAAATTTTGTGGAACCAAATGCAATTATGATTACAGGAATTTTTTACACAGTGTCTATGAGAAGTCTGTATTTAGCTTTACCATTTGATGGTGATAACTACTGAGCTGCCAGACCTGAATACGTGATATTTTGTAGGCACATGTTCATAAACATACCAATAAGTTCTGTATGTATATTCTTGATTTATTAACAAATGACAATGGCACAAAACTCTGATATACTGTCAGGCAAATTTAATGTATATGGAATCTATAGCAGAAATAATGCACATACGTCAATTACTACACTCTACACTTATTAACTTACAATTCTTCCTAGCATTCCCATCATCGACTTAAATATTCAAAGGAATGTAGGCAGCATCAATTTTATACACAACTTCTGAAACACAAACCTTTCAGTATGATTTCAGGTTTTCACAGCACTGAATCTGAAGATGGCTGTCTTCTGGGTTGTAACACAGTGTAGTCTAATAGAAGTTCGCCTGTGTTTCTGAGGTCCTTGCTGCCTCCATCATCAGGGCAACGAGAGGCATCGAGGACCTCTGAAATGTCGGTAAACTTCTACCAGACTACACTGTGTTACAACCCAGAAGACAGCCATCTACAGAGCTTTCAGAATTGGTTTTGGGTGTGGACAGTATTTTCCAAAACAAAAAAGTTCCACAAACAATTAAGTTTGGTAAAAACTACTGCGTATCAAATGGGATGCATACCAATGCCATGTTAATAGGTACATCCAGTTCTGGTGGCACTACAAAAGGTTCGTCTCCTCCTTCCACTTCCTCCTCTGTAGGTTCTCCCTGTTCTTTCTCTTCAAGTTTCCCTGAGCCTGGATCTTCTTCATAATTGAATGCAACTTCACCATATGATTTTGAGCCCAGTGCCTTATGGAGCCGCTTCAACTCTTCTTCTACAGAAAAAATTAAAGTTACACAATACACACAGACTGCTTACACAGGCCACAAATGACAAATTTATTTTCAGCTAATATGGTACATCCAGCAATAAAATTAGACAGTGTTGTCTTATGGGTTTTTACTTCTGATGCTGAAACCCATATGAATTAAAATTTTGCATATGTTCTTATAATGGACTATAATGCAGTTATATTTTTCTGTAAGGAAGTGTTCAAAGTACATTATAGTTTACTTGCCCTTACAAAACTTTCATATTTGCCTTGCATCACGATCATGAACATTAACATTAGGTCCATTATTAATTGTTGTTGTTTATTTATGTATTTATTTATAGTTTATTTAATGACTCTTCCAGTAGCTCAGACTTTTTCGCACTGACTGTTGCTGTCACAATAATAGTGACGGGAGGAGTGACGACAGCAGCAGCTCACTAAAACCAACAGCATTTGCTCCCTTTATCACCAGATTTTCTGGCAAACAATTTTTCTCACTTCTCTGTGTTATTAAGGTATTATGAAGTGTGTGTTGCTAGAGAATGATTAAGGCTGGCTTCCTTATCACTGGTGGAACCCTAGAGCAACTCATGCTCTCATACACGAGGCATGTCCATGCCAAGACTCACTGGAAGGCTTGCCTTCCTAGATTAGGTCAGAAGGTAAGCCTCAACTCTTTGAAAGCCCTTATAGAAACAATTTTTTGCAGTTTTAAGATCAGTCTGTTACTGTTCAGTTGATGCTGTAACATGTTAAGTAAAGAGGAAGCAATTTTAATTGGTCTTGCTCTTACTTTAACAAAAACCAAACAAATAAGCAAAAAAAGGAATAAAATGTTCTAAAGTTTACCAAAAGCTGACTACATAGGTCAGAACTTTACCATGTAAAACTAATTAACAAAGTGAATTTAAAAGCAATGGACTGACAAAACTACCTGTGAAAAATAACAGGAGGGACACACACATATTTGAAACCAGTTTCTCCAATTATCAAGAAGGAAGACATCATAATAAGTACCACAACGTTCTTGCATAAATGGCTGTACACCCTCAGGTTATGGCCAAAGGAAGAAACTAGCACAAGCACTAAGAAAATTCATTCCACAATGCACATGCTAAAAAGCATATCAATAGTGAGATGATGAAAGAAAACACTTAATAATTTTAATATTATCTTACCTTGGTACAATGCTTCTTCTTCCTCATTATGGTGTAAGGATCGATATCGTTCCTCATCACAAAGCTGTTCTGCGCGACGTTCGGCATCAGACAGACCAACCCACCGATTTGCATCATGACCACCCGGCTGTGCCTCATACTGCTTTAAATCATACAAGGCCCCACGTCCATCATACCTGCATGACAAACCAACCAGGCAATCAGCAAGCACAAATATGGATCGTCCTCTCATAAAACATTCAACTATACATGACAAGCTATGATGAAGTCTTTGGAGAATTTACATGACCTGAAAAAAAATTCAGTGGAAACAGACATGACAAGCTATGATGAAGTCTTTGGTGAATTTACAAGACCTGAAAAAAAATTCAGTGGAAACATATTCATTATTATAGCCTTTTGTCTTCTGCTCTGCTCAAATATGCTACTAATGCCTTACATGCTCTAATGCAAACAGTAACAGAAGTAGAATTCAAGACACATTCATCTCACTGCCAACCTTGTACACCACTTCAAGATGTGAACAGATTCTTACAAAGCGTTTCTGAACCCTGACAGCTCCGGTATAATAAAGAATATGGCAGATTCTGCAAATAAACTACACCATTCCTCAGAATTGAAAGGGGTTCCTCTAGATTAAAAGGAGTAAATATGCATACATATAAATTAAGTGTTTACAGATACTACTGTACTTGTGCAGGAAGACTTCAGTTACAATAAAATACAGTTCCGTGGATCAGTGATATCACATGCATTCTTCACAACAAAGGATGAATTTATTTCCCCACTATTACAACTGATGTATTTTCCTCTTCATTGCACTTAGAACACCCGAAATAATAACACTTAAATATTTGTTCTCAATCAGTCGCTATTCACATCTCTAAGTTTACTGGTCTCTAAATCACACTTGTTCTCTTGACCAATCTTCACTCTCAATTCATGTCACATTTTGCTCCCTGCCCTAATGACTCAATTACTATAATAAGCTCTGGCTCCGTCATTCAGTTGCCTCACTGGTCACGGCACATGGTGTAACTTAAAACCATTACTGTGTATGTGTGTCTACTGATAACATGGAACAGCCAGTTCATGTTTAACCAAAGAAAAGCTTTTGTGAGTTTTAAGTTCATGTGAGGTTTTGGTACACAGAACTTGAAGTGTGAATAATATAGAGTACATTCTCTTACAGTCTTAATAACCTCAGAAAATGCAAAGTGTTGTGATCAGGATAAACATTCATACAAAATAATAAAAAATTCTGTATCTTAACATGTCAAAATTTACGCTGCAAAGACAAAACAATCACTCGAAAAAATATGATGACCAAATTTATCACATGTTTAGACATTCCAGACCACACTGAAAACACTAAAAGGTGTGGTGAATTTTTAACAAGATACATAAAACAGGGATAGTTCATTGGTTTTACAGCTGTTTTGTACTCTCCAAAGCAGAACCCTGATTAGCCACTAACTTTAGCCTTCAACTGGCAGGTCAAAATGTTGTCAGACTCTAGAATGTAAGGCGTCCATACATAAATAGCTCCGTACTCAAGATTGTGCTTGTATTCAGTTCAACTCTATAATAAAAAGTAGCACTGAACAATTTTTCTTATACAATCTTTCCGTAAAATACCATCATGGAGAAAGTGCCAACCCAAGTTTTGACAAAAATATCCTAGTTTTAGAGCACTATGTAAAGCAACAATACACAAAATATTGTGAAAATGTTGTATAAGTTATGTTTTACTGAAGAATCCTTGGACAATAATTGTTCTCGACTAGAAGCTATATTTTTGACATTACTTTTGCCAATGCTCAGATAACAAAAATCTATACAGCACCAAAGCAAATTATGCATTGAAATCCAATAATTGCAGTTGCTAATTTATAACTTTTACTGGCATATCTGGACTCACAGATGCACTCAAGGAATGGAAGTATCATAAGCTCTTCCTAGAACATCATATTAACACTAAAACATAAAGTCAGTAATAATGCAGATAATGAATACCTCTGAATTTTACTTGTGTTACTGTTTCTTAAACACAGAAGGCATTTTTGTAGCTCATTAGTTATACACAATGTCATACACAAGTTCTTATTATTAGACTTAGTATTAATTCACATCAATATCACTATACATTTATAAATATGATCATTTCTATGTAATCTTTAACACACATTATCCAATGTTGGGGAAACAGGACATAGAAAAGTCATGGGAGGCAAGATTGTATTCTCCTTCAATCTTACCACAACAGGGAAATGCCTAGTGTAAAGCTGGCTTTCCATCTCACCTTCACGGCAAACTTGCGAAGGTGGTCAACATCTTAGCCACCACGGTGATACCCTTGGCAGAGGCCAGGGGAGAGACAAGCTATAGCAAAAATCTCACGAAAGCTGTCCAACCTGTGGAAATCTTAAACACGTTAATTCAAGAACTCAAATAAACTTAAAATCAAATCTAAGACATGAAATACACAATTTACACTTGACTTTTAAATTATGTATTTTGGCCAGGTTACTATTCCACTAGAATTTTAAAATAATCCTTAACTTCCATGTAATTCTATCAATCATAAATGTGAGTACAAATGTAAGATTACAGGCTCTCATAAAAACATCAATGTCCACTGACAAAGTTAAATGCAATTGTCACTTTCGTGCTCCCAGCAAGAACTGCATGACTCACCACCAAATGCTACAAGAATTTCCTGGTATGATTCAAGAATAACTCCACAAAAACAATAGAATCAACTAACCAATGTTATAATATGTGCTGAAAACAATGTCTGTTCAAGCACACACTTTACACCATTTAAATTGGTTTCAATTACATAACAAGGAACTTCAGAGATTAAACTCTGGTACCAAATATTTTGGAAGGAAATAACCATGAAAACAAAACAATGCTATACACACACTAAAAAGAGGGAGAATGAGGATCAACTTCACCATCATGAAGTGACAGCAAAATCCAGCTAAAGAAATTAATCCTGCTAGCTGAGTCACATGATCACCTTGCATGGCCAAAGTTTAAGCAGTTTTCTCTCTTTAGCTGCTGATGATTTCAAGACGCAGGACTCCTACGCAAGGCGTCTTGGTGGTGTGTTCTAACCCAACTCCTATTTCATCTAATTTTATTTCAGTAAGCACGTGACATTTTTAGCAGGTTTCTTGTCCAGATCTGACCCAGCAGAACAGATTTCATCAGTAAGTATATGGATGCTTGTTGTGCCTAGAACTGTGATTCTGGGGAATTTACAGCTAAATTTTCTGACACTTTCTAGCAATACCATACTTCACATACAATTCACACAGAAAAACATGCTGTTCAACAGCATAATGAACATACCCATACATACAACAGTAACTAGTACTTAACACAATGTCAGACACAGTTGCACTGTTGTGTGAATAATTTTAGCAGCAACTGCTGTTGGCTCTTGGTGGCGAGTCGTGCACTTCTTGCTGGGAGCCAGAAAGTGACAACTGCATTTAACATTGTCAATAACTCTGTCAATGGCCCCACTGTATTATAAGCTAACAGAAATACCTGTCAAAGCATAATGAAAGAAATTTATTTATTTATTTATGTACATATGTATTTATTTGCGGATTATTTAACAACTGTCAGTAGCTCAGACTACACAGCATCAGATAAGAGGATGATTAATGAACAAAGCAGAGGAAAGAATATGTAACAAAGTGGTCATGAACTACAAAGGAAATAAAAATTTGCAACATTTCATAATTTTCAAGTTAAAATTATAATACTAAGTGAATCAAACACAAAGGAGGTTAATCTGTTTTTTCTTCCAAAGCTTATAATACATTTTGCTCCAAATTCACTACTCTTCAGATGTTCAAAATCATTTTCAGACTTTGTTACTCAACATTTTCTTTTGGCGAATACACTAGGCTCTCAATCAGCCATGACCGAATTAACTGCAATGCTTTTAGTAATGTTAACAGCCTAAATCAGAGAAAAAACCTTATACACATTGTGACCATCTTTAGATGTCTGAATGTATTAAGTGTGATCACTGTGCCACACCACTTCAAACTTCATCTTTTAAGAATTTTATGAACATGACAGCCAACCTAACCTAAGAACCTCTCCCTTCTTTCCAACCTCAAAATATGTTTTGCAGCCAATTCTTAATAGATGATCCACGTATCAGTGAAAGTACTGCTCAGTGTGCAACATGGTTCAGTGACATTGTACATAAGTGGCATAGGTTATTGAATCATTGAAGATTTTATAGTGGGTTCCTGCTACAGGCAATAAGCAATAAGCTGGGGTAACTCAGTCACTACAGTGTCTGATTACAGACTGAACAACTGTGGTTTGATTCCTGGCAGGGGCAAAGGAGTTTTCTTCTAGCTTCAGCATTCAGATTGGCTTTTGAGCCCACCCAGCCTTCCACCCAATGCATACCAAGGATACTTTCTCTGAGGGAAATGTATGACCAGGGCACGACACTTATCACTCACCCCAATCTAGTGCCAAGATCATGAATTAGTAGGACCTGTATCTACTCCCCCCTCCAAGCATCTCCATAGCATATAGTGGAAAAGCTTTCCCTAATTTAAAAGCAAATTATATAAGTTATTTAATGATTCATGCCATTTCTCTCTTCCATTCAGGTGGATAACCAAGAACGTGCTATAGTAATTTCATGTTCAGTTTGGTTTAAATAATTAACTGTTCAAAAACACTGAAAATGCCTTACACAAACAAAAAGCATATTTCTGGCTTCACCTGAACCAGTTACAAGCATTTACAATTACAACATTGATTTATGCATAATTAATTACTTCATCACAGGGTTCATATGTATTAACTAACTAACTTTGTAGTTGACAATAGCGATATTTTTTAAAAGTTACTTCTGTCATTACATTATTTAGGAGTGTCATGATACAGATTTATATTACAGTTAACGATGCATTTTTCCAAAAACAACAAACTGCCGACGAACAAAATATAAAATGGATAGAAGACATAGAATTGTCACAATTTTCAATGCATCTGGCGCGTTAAGCGCCCGCCTCTCAAAAACCGTAAGAGATGGATCTGGACATATTGCATATGAAATACGTATTACCTCTTCAGCTTTCCATATCTGTTTTCAGATTTTACATATCACAAATGGTTTAGGTTCTAC